ATTAGATTTAATGGATGAGTCTGAATGCTGCAGATGGTTGAATGTTTCAGAATGTTTTAGATGGTAGAATGTGGAGAAATTGCCACATTAAAATCCTCTATCTAACCTGAACCATCATGAAGACTACATAGCAATCTGCTTACACCCACATGTTGATAGAAGACAGAAAAATGAACCTGGTGAAGTAAAACCATCTTGGGATTACTCTCTTAATTTTACTCTTTTACTTTCAGTGAGTTTTGTGGCTGCATTTTATATTAAATCTTGGTTAATATACATAGCTGTTATCATCCTACTTACTTGAAGACTCAGATATTTTGTCACTGTTTACACTAGCTTTTGCTATTTTTATTAAATTTATTTATTTTTTATATCGCTGCTCATTTTTGTACAATACTTGATTTCTCCCCTCAGGTGTAGTCTCCATAATTCTCTTCCCACCATAGCTTGTCCTTCCTCTATTTTAACTCCCTTTCCCCACCTCCACCCCCAGCTTTGTGCCTCAGATCTGTGGTCAGCTTGAAAGTTTTGTCTTTTTCCTATCCTCTATTCAGTTTCTCTATATTCCCCACATAAGTGATACAACCCCAAATTTTTCTTTTTTCCTTTGACTTATTTTGCTTAGCAGAATCCCTTCCATTTCCACCCATGTTGCTACAAATGGCAAAAGTTGATCTTTTTGACTGCTGAATAGTATTTCATTGTGTTTATATACCACATCTTCTTGACCCATTCATCTGTTTGGGGACATCTGGGTTGTTTTCATATCTTAGCTATTGTAAACAGTGCTTCAATAAACATAGGTTTCCTTTCTAGTTAGTGTTCTTGTATTCTCTGGATAGATTCCTAGGAGTAGAATCACTGGATGATATGAATGTATAAGCTATTTTAGACTAAGATTTGTCTAAAACCAAAAATGGGTACATCAGTTGGAATCAAACTTGAAACCATCAAACAATCATACCTATCTGTCAACTAGTTATTTCATCATTTATGGCAAAATTGTCATCTGGCCAATTAGTTATATGAGAAAAAATTCTGTGGTAAAGAACTTCTGGTGCATCTGTGGGAAACAGGAAGGGAAATGTGCCCAGGGCACTGACACCCTTACATTGGCATGAACTCTGAAGCACTGGGTGGCTCTTTTGGCTTCTATCTACTCTCAACCTCTGATGGAATAAGTGTTAGAATAAGAGTCAATAAGAAGATGAAGTGAATCCCATGAAGCCTGAGATGAGGCAGATATTTAAATAAAAAACTCACTGATCTAGTGGCATGTGAGTGTGTCCTTGCTGATCCCACCCCTAAGTCACTTGCGGTCAAGTGTTGTTTTTTGGAATAGCATGATCATGGCGGTGGTTCTCCAAGGCAGTCACTGTCTGCTTTTCAAACCTTGGGCTCACTTGGATGTTGGGTGTGTAATGTGGGAGTAGCCAAGCTACCAGTTATGATATGCAAACTACACCACACTCAGGCCTTGGCCGACTTTGAGGGTTCTGTGAGGTTAGTATATTTGGAATGTATGTGCAAAGACAGACTGCATTTCAAAAGGTTTTAAGCTAGACACTTGGCATTCAGAATCCATTTCTCTTTAGAAATGATGTTTTAAATGCAGCTTTAGTACTCAGGTCAGTCCACAAAAAGACTGACTTAGTCTCCACTATGACCTTGATGCCTGAAACTATGTATTTGCAAAAACAACCAACTAACAAAATGACCCTTAGGACTATATGAAAGAATTTTAAAAGTAGAAAGAATCACTATGTCAAATGCATGATATTAAATACTGCTAGGTTTAACTAAAGGCAAAGTAGAAATTATGTAGATGCATGGAGTTTCTGCAGGGTATATCTGGGGAATTTCAAGGGTTTTAGAGTTGGTGGCATTCATTCCTTGTGGTGGGTAGGCTAGAAAAATTTTCAGAGCTAAGTATCCCTAGACATTTGTAGAGTTGAATAGAGGCAGTGAGAGAAAAAGCTACTCTAGTAGTTAGGTGGGCAAAACTGAGAATACAGATGGGAAGGAAAAATTGCTTAAACAAGTATATGTGAACCCATGAGGAAAACATTTTGCAAAAATGAAATCAACTGAATGGTTGAAGAGGAGAATATGGTGAGAAATTTTGTCAGTCCTTTAGAGTAAGCTTCAGAATATTGGGTAGTAACTTCCCCTCTGACACATCTGTGGTTGTTCGGTGATATTTTTGAATGTTAATCCATTGGGGACTGCAGCATGCTCAAATGGACTTGTAAAAATGGACCTCTCACACATGCAGATGTTTTAAGAGGCATTTACATTTATAACCTATTGCTGTTTATAAAGAAAAGGTAGGCCAGTAGTAAGGAATTTTATCTTACTCCATTCAATAATAAAATTTAATAGTGATCATTTTTGCCTCTATGAATATATTTGTCTCCCTGTTATTTTACTCAACCCATCCTTTCTCTTCTTTGTAAAGAACTAAAAATAATAACTTTGATGCAAGAATCTGAAATAGATTTTATGTTTTAAAATTTCCTAGCCTATTCTGTTGATGGTAACAAGATGGGATAAACAATTTGTTCTTTGCTAATTTCCAATTCATATTAAAACAAGATGCTGTTTAGCTTTGCATTATCTAGGGAAAAATAAATTGCCAAGTAAATTAATAGTGACTTTACCAAGAAATCATTTACTATTTTAAGAGAAAAACTTTCAATTATGTATAGACAATGATAAAAAAACTAAAATTTAAAAACTATTAATAAAAGATTTTTTAAAAAGATTTATTCATACAGAACTGGGGTACAGGCCAGAGATGCGGAGAGTGAGAGGATTCACCAGGTACAGAGAGGGCAGCAGAACAGGCAGATCCACGAAGTACACTGCTGAGGGGAGCAGCGGGCGCGTCTGCGTCGCCATGTGGATCTCCTCCGGGGCAAGCGGGGATCGAACCCATGCCATTTTACCTATGTTTAATAAAAGATCTTTTATGGGCCCTCCCTGGTGGCACAGCGGGTTAAAGCACAGCATTGAGAAGCTAAAGCCACTTCCGCAGGAGTTCGATTACCCCCTGTGCTAGAGGAGACCACATGGCGTGGCAGACTTCTCCTGACCCACCCGCTGCTCCCCTCAGCAGTGTTCTTCGTCGACCTGCCTGTTCTGCTCCCCACTCTGTCCTGGGTGAATCCTCTAACCTTCCGCATCTCTGGCCTTTAACCCAGTTCTGTATAAATAAATCTTTAAAAAAAAATAGGTAAAAATACTCTGAGAATCTGAACATAGTAACATTTTATGTTTTTCATGAATTTAAAATGTTAAGAATTCATGGATTTTATAATTATTTTAGGGAACTTCTACATTGTAATCAAATCTGATAAGCATTTTTCTACCAATTGCAGATATTATCAAATGAGCATAAATAAATTGCATTTAAAAATTTATAGCCTCAGACAGACTTTTTTAATAAAAAGCCTATTATGCGAAGATTATGGGAATTGTGGGTTTTTACTTAGTATATACTCCCACTGAGTTTGCATCAGTCTGTCAACATTTAAGGCAAATCACCTATTAACACTGTTCTAGACACTGTTAATGATTGTTAAACTGCAACAAGGAAAAAATAACTCACAACCAACATAGTGCACATTTAAAGTTACATAAAATGTACAAACATATATAAACAGCATCAGAAATAAAGTAAACATTACATTCAACCAGAGTTAGAAACCTTGTGCATCATTCTGTGCTCCAGGAATCTTTGATCAAACTCCAGTGTATGCTAACCACAAGACAGGATATATAAAAGTTATCATTATGTACCTGTTATACAATAACATTTGATGATGCTACTTAATATTAAGTTGTCATCCTTGAAGCCATGAAATTATTTCAATGAGGAGCAAAGATAGGGGAAGTTAAAAAAAAATTCCAGGGAGAAAGTATTTAAAATGATTTTGTAGAATACAAGTAGCCTTATTTATTATTTTTGCATAAAAAGGAGGCTTGTTGCTTCACAAATTCTTAAATACTGAGCCTCCTTTCAGTTCTCTCTTTGAATAGAAGGCATGTTGGTTGAAAAAAGAAAGTCTTTCACCATAAATAATGCCCAGTGCAGTTGAGAGCACAGGCAAGACTGTCCTGGATGGCTAAGTTTGTACTACGTAAATTGTGCCCTTTGCAACATTTCCAGTTGGGGAGCTGTGTCCTGCAGCTCAGAGGCACATTCTTAAATGAAGTTCTTTTTGGAGGCCAACATCTGATTATCAAGTACTTTTTCTTCATACAGATGTGGCACTTTAAAGGGTGTATGTTAACTAATCTCTTTCTTTCCCAGAAGGAACCTAAATTGGATCTTGATCTGGAGGCATCAATTTCATGGACACTGAGCTCCTCCCTAGTCAAGGTGTGGAGATCAGGTAGGTGCTTGCGGAAGCAAAATTTCAGGCCCAGCACACACCTGTAGCCACCCAGATGCCATGTGACCCACATGTACTTGAGACTGAGTGGCACTCTGCTGACTTCTCTTTAAGCTCCACTAAAGAGTGGGGTCCTGATAATTCCAGTTAGGGGATTCTTAGAGCACTGAGATGGTCTTTGGTAAATACTGCATTTCATCTCTCCACTGGCAACATCTGGAAAAGCCTCTTTTTGACAAAAAGGCCTCATCGATTTTGGCAATATGCCAAAAAAAATCTTTTAAAATAACTTTTGAATACATTCCCCCAAATATGACATGTCTATTTATTGTTTAATTTGGTTGTGCTGCTTGCTGAACTATATGTAAAAGGTACACATTGGCATAGACTAAGTTACAGTTTACCATGAACCATAAAAATAAGAAATTTAGGTTTTCTACCAGTTTAAATTGAAGGTAGGCCTGATATAACAATGTGACTGTTACATCAGGTCTGTTCAGTTATCTTTGAATAGCATGCAATTGCTTTATTTTAAAAACAAAAAAAAATTGCTTTTATTTTTTCATTATCACAAAAAATAAACGAAGCTGCTCTTAGACCCACCTTTATATCCTGTGGGTTGATGTCAGGATTTGTTTGGCACTGGAGAGGTCCCAGAGTTTGAATGTGAAAAATGTAGAGAAGAAACTCATCCCTGGCGGAGAATGGCCAACCCACCTTCAGTAGGGTGTCGCTGATGGCACTTGGCCCAGTGTTGTGCAGCTAAAAGCAAGAAACACATCAGGTGATGGTGCAGCCCAAGCAAGATGATTAAAGTCAAACTCACTAAGAAGCATTTATTTCTGGCTTAAGTCATCTAGACTGATGACTGGGGGAACAGAAAAATAGCAGTTGTGTGGGGAGGAGGAGTTCTAAGAGCAAGATGCTCTGGTGCTGAGGCCACTTCAATCTGTGAAGCTCTAAGAGCAATTTTCTCCAGCAAAGCCCACATGATTATTGTGAGGTTTACCTTAAATTTATATCAACTTAATCACAGCATTAGAAATGTAATTTTAATTATATGCTTTCAAAACTGAGTTATTCTTTCTTTACATTGAAATCTGCCTTTTTCCTGACTACTGACTTGTCAATTGCAACCATATGGGATGCACTCTCTTTCACCCTTTAGAAAAATCGCTATCCATCAGGGGTCAGAGACAGTAAGGGCTTACCACAGTTCACTTCAAGTACGCGTTGCAAAGTTGAATTCCTTCTGTTTCAATCAACAAATTGCAAAGAAAGGAAAGCCACATCTCGTAAAGAGATGAACACTTAAAACACATGGAACTTGTACTAGAGAACCAAACGGCTTATGAAAAACACTAAGTGTATTTAAATTTATGAAGGTTTTAAAAGTTCACTTTAAAGTTAGCAGAGACCTTTTATTCCTCCCCTCCACATAGAGTTCTGCCAATTACAATGATCAATAAAATGCCCTATATTTGGTGGTGCTTCTTAGGTGGCCCCTTTAATTCACATTATCACAGCAACACGGTATCCATTGCTACAGTAATTTTGAGGCATGACGAATAGCATGGAAGAAACGACATGATTCCTTTTGGTACTACTAATTAGTACTCTACATTTTTATGATCCGTTTATGCTGAAATGGGGAGCAGGACTGCATGAGAATTATTGAGTTTGAATATATTTTCAAATCTTAATGCTTCACCATTCTTTACCAGGAACTGGTGCATACAAGGTTTAATAATTGGCAGCCTTTTCCCCCCAGTGAGATTCTTTGTCGGAATGGACCTGGTGACTGTGGTAATGTCTTGCTATCAAGAGAGCTTACGGCAAAGCTTTGATCTGACCTTGGGCAGGAATTCTGATTCTGAGCTACAGGTTGGGCAGATGACAGAGGTTTTCATGTCGACACTGAGCAGGCGTTGATACTTCTTTCTCACACATGTAAACAACTTGTCAGCTTTGAAATGCTTTATTGTTGGCCTTAGAGAATGCTAGTCATATCCCTTGAGACATAAGAGTCATCGCCAGAATTATATGTCAGCAACAAGAGTTATAGATTGGAAAGGGACACTAAATTTAATTGACCTCAAAGAGGAAATTGCTTGGAACATCATTTTTACCAAAACTCCATCTCTAATCCTTTAAAAATGAACAGAAATAACCACTTTCTACCAATTTACTTTAACATAAAAGCAACTACTAAATGTATGCATATGTTGGTTTATAATTGTAAAAAATTTAAATATTCCAGCTGATGGGTCAACAGAGCTCTTCTTCATATTTTAACACTTGTGTATAGTGGGTTTGCCTTTGGAAAGTATTTTTGGAATCAACAGACTATTTCAAATAGCCATTGATGTCTAGTTTGGGTTATTTGAATAACAGTAACAATATTCTTATCTGATGACCACCCAACCATCTTACATAGGCATTTTTTATACAGTAGCAAATAATCCATAACTTTTTCAATATTTGATACCTTCAGGTTAGTGATGCTTAGTTTAAGAGGTGAGTGAATTTTAAGGATAACTAAAAATATAGGAAGACATGAAGTAAAGGCTAGGGAGCAGGTCATTTAGTGTTTAGGTTGTTGAAACATTAAAAAAGAGAGGAAATGAAAATATTTTGGAAAGAGTAACAACTCAACTACAAGATAAAAATATTTCTCACAATGTCATAGATCCCACTACCCCAATGCAATATGGTGACACAAAAGTGGCCTATACAGGAAGTATCTAAAGCCCAGTCTTTGCTTGATGTCTTTTTTTTTTTTTAAGATTTATTTATTTATTTATGCATACAGAACTGGGGTATTGGTGCCGGGGCAGTGAGAGGATTCACCAGAGACAAAGCGGGGAGCAGAACAGGCAGATAGATGAAGTACACTGCTCAGGGGAGCAGCGGGCGGGTCAGGAGAGGTCTGCCACGCCATGTGGTCACCTCCGGGGCTGGGATCAAACAGGCACCGAAGCAGCTGCAGCCAGCTTGCAGTGCTACGTCCTAACCCTTTGTGCCACCAGGAGAGCCTTGATGTCTTTTAAAATGGTATGGAGAGCTTATTAGTACAGAACATAAGAATAACCATTTACCCCAACACAACTTTAACACAGGCAACAGTTACCTCATAAATGTGTTCCACTAACGGTCCAACTTCCTCCTCTTGGCGGGGCTCCTTTTCCGGTTCCCAGTTGTGAATGGGCAGAACAATCTGCAGAGGGTGCGACACGCTGAAACATGGAATGTTCAGTTAATTGTAGGGAATGACACATGTAAATAATGTTTCACTGGTGCACAGCACATTGACAGCCACAGAATAAGTTACTCTTGATGGGTTTGAATAGATACTGCCTATGTGGAAAAAGATATTGAAAGTGAATTTTAGGATAATGACTAAAGGGAGACAGTAAAGGCTATAAAACATCTAGCATAGGCTTTTCTCTTACTATAGTAATATTTTATTATTACATTAAAAAAGTTTCAGGTGTGTGTCATTCACTATCAACATGCGTATGTACAGCAGGCTGATTACTGTTCTCTTGCTGGGAGTTAATTATTTTACAGCATCTATGTCTTGGGCACTAGGGGGCAGAGCATTCCTCAGTTGAAGTTGATAATTTAATATATAGATACTGAATGTAAATATATACATCAGTAGATTCTGTGTATGTGTATGTGTGTGTGTGTGTGTGTGTGTGATATAAAATCCTCATTTTAAGCAATGTCAAGACATTAAAAAGTAGTGTGAATTAAAAAGTAGAATTGTGTGCAGTGTGTTCTATGTTCAATTAGGAAGAAAATTAGTTTCTTGTTAAATGCTTTAGAATAGAAAAATAGCCACTTGTATATTCATCTGGCTATATATCTTTGACCCCCTATTAATTCAGCTATACCTCTCAGATGACAGAGGCAAAAAAAAAAAAAAATAGAGTTGTAGAGTTTTGTAGGTCCAGAGAGAGAGGGAGAAGGAGAGTTAAACATTGTGTTAAATAGTGTAACCATGTAAATAGGACATTTACTTAATAGAGGTATTCCTGTCTGCAACTTAGAGCTAGAAGGTGAGCAAGTGTGTACTGGAGGAATGAAATATAGTTTGTGGCATATTCCATATTAAAAAATTTACTTTACACCATATTAGTTGTTTTTATATAATCTTAAAAAGGAACATTCTAACATGATACCTTCTAGCAGTTTTTTAGGTAAAGGTTTTCTTTAAAACAAAACCAAACCAATAACAAACCTAGAAATCTGACTGTAAATTGAGGCTGGGGGTGGGGGGAGAACATGTGGAGATCACAATGAGAAGGGGCCACAGTAAACTATGATGGGACAGTATGGTGGTGGGGCATGGTGACTTACTCCTCACAGTTGTGATCCTATACCTCTAAATCATTTAAAGTATTAGGAACCAGTGTTACCTCAATTAAAAAAAAAAAAAGAATTCCTAGACCTTCAGCTAAAAATAAGTGCAACAGAAAACATTTCTTTTTGCAATCAGAGGTCTTAAATGTCCCCTTTAAGGGTATCCAGTAACTAGCACAGCCACTAATAGCTTTGACGTTATCATCTCTTCCCTCTTGGTTATTTCTTCCAAAATCAGAAAGTAAAATTTATTGAGTGAAATTCTGACCCTAAGGCAAGTAATTTAATTTCTGTGCCTCTGTTTCCCCATCTGGATTACTATTATAAATTTGTTGGTTTCTAATACCACAAATGATCAGAACATATCTCAAATGCTTTTGTTCAAAGTTCATTTGTCTACATTGTCTTCTAGAACAGTGAGAGAAGTACAGTCCACAAAATGTGGCTAAATTGTAAAGCCACATTTTGGATTAAGGATAAATGTATGTATCTTTAATATGTAGATGTTAATTACAAAGTGCAAATTACAATTTTGCAATGCAGGTATCTCAAACTTCTCTATCCTTATTTTGAGCCATGGTTGTTATTGTACCCCGATTAGTTATATCATATTCCCTTTTCTACTTGGTGTAATTAAGTTCAGCTCAAATATAGAGGACTTGGTGAAAAGAGTAGAGAACATGTCAGGCTGATTTCACCTAAGGGAACTCAAAGGGCTTGTGCTTCCAGCCCACAGGTCTTGACAACCTCACCACTCAAAACTTGCCTTTTTGCTTTAAGGTGGGCAACAGAGATGGCTCTATTCTCCACATACATTATATGGCTCTAGGGACTTTTTTTTTTTTTTTTCAAATGAGAACTAATACATAATAGGAACTTAGCACATTTTTAATGACAATTTTTGTTCTTATGTTATTAATCCTCTAGAACCACAGGATCAGAAATCTTTTCACCTTGATAGGTGCTAGGGAGACAGTGGGCTCAAAACCCCTCATTTTATATATGGAAGGAATCTGTCATCTAGAAAAGTGGAGCGTTAGGTGTGGGTGAAGATTAGAGTTCAAGTTTACTAAGCACAATCCACTTTATTCCCAACAAACAGTGCACCACAATAGTTACTAAACTGTACTGATTTTTAGTAAACACAGTTAATGAAATGTCCTAGCCTATATAAACACATCAATCAAATAAACATCTCTAGAGAAACATGTAATAAATCACAGGGCATAACAAAATCATTCAAAAAATATGACACAAAATTCAGCTACCTCTTCTCTAAGATCTTTTCAAATCTGGGAGAACTATATCAAAGAATGGCTTCCTAAAGATCCAACTATATAAGTGAAACATTGCTTACTGTTTTCAGTTGCTATTTTCTTAAAAGGATGCAAGCAAGAGAGGAAGAAAGAATATAAACAACTAATTAGCCTAGGGTCAACATTGGGTTCAGTTATCTAACAAACATTACTGAATTCCCTCTGCCTTTTAAGATGGGGATAGAGCACTCTTCCACTGAGACTGGCACTATAATAAGATTGGTCTACTCACTGGTACCACTAGATACTAGGAAAGAGAAGGAAGGAATTATGTTTTTGATCATGTATATATGCTATTAGGAAGTTCAAATCTGATGATGTGCAATACTTTTCCTAACCCTGTTCTCAAATCCCATTAATCCCAAATAGCAAAGACTATCATTTATTGTATGGAAATATTTTGGCCCTGCCCACCATATTCAGTATGTGTGGTTATTTATTATTGTAGCCTCTCTTAATATAAACTCACTCAATCTCGATTATTTTACAAAGGGCACAGTTTTATTATTCTTCATAAAAATATGTGGTGCTGCCTACTGTGGCCAATTTTGTTTGGTAGAGCTATGGTTAATTGATTCTTTGTACCAGCAAATGATATCTTAATTTGCTTAATGACAGTATTGAAATTTTCTGGCTTTGAAATAAATTAACAATCTTCAGTATTCTTTTATTTGAAAAGTAAGTCCATTTGATTTTATTTTAAAAATTAAAAACAATAGTAAATTAAATAAAAGAACTATACATTATTAAATACATTGGAATAACCATTTCTGACAAAATGAATACTAGATTTTTCCTAAAGACTGACCATGAATTCAGACTTTCAACATAGTTGCTATTTTTCTCTGGAAGAATGAATCATTGGAACCAGTATTTTTGATGAGTATTTGGAGCAAAGAATTTTATCTTGCAAAATGATTTAAAAAATTACACTATCTTAAAGAATAAACTGTGGTCAAATTTTGAACATTAATCTAGCAATTAAAATAATTGCAACCATATGAAAAATCCAGTTTTAATAACGTGTTGATTATTTGCAAAACAAATAGGAAGGTCCCTTTTTTTTTCCGCATAGAAACCCTGGTATCATAAATATTAGCAGAAATACATTTAAAATATTAATCTCATAAAATAAACATGGGGGAATAGATTTGTTATACTAAGCCCTTAGCTGGCTTGGAGTGAATTATATCTTAGAGAATAAAAATAGTTCCCAATTAAAAATTTACTTTAAATAGTTTCAGTTTATTTTTGGCCAACTATAATGCTAAGCTTAAAGGAGACAAAATTTCATATGTACTAGTTGTTAGTTATAAGACAGTAAAAATTGTGTCTGTATATCCTCTGATTTTTAAAATTGTGTTTCTCACGTATAGAGAAAGTTACATGAATTAAATTAGAGGTGCACAAAAGTGAAACACCTAAATTAACTCTCAATATCTGTAAGTCAAAAAAGTTATTTCCTATAATGAGCCAACTCATAAGTTAAAGAAGAAATCATAAAAGAAATATTTTGAGTTGTTATATTAAAACCCAACACCCTGACATTTTGGTAGCTGCTGAAGCAAGCCTTAAAAGGAAACTTACTGCACTAATTAAATGCATAGGTAAAAAAACAGCAGAGTGGTAAAAAATTAATGATATGATTTCTACATAGAAAACTAGGGGAACCACTTCTATATAGTCTTGCACTGGCAGTCCTAGTCTATGCAGGAAGGAAAGAGATGGAAATAAAGGCGGAACTATGTAGTAAACAATTTAACTGCCTAAGAGGCAGGTCTGGCCTTTGCCCTCAGGTTCTAGGAGGTAACCTCTGGGGTTCAGAAATTCTATTCCTACAGGAAGGAGTCTCTCAGTGTGCCTCTGGGCCTTGGCTCACACTGGGTGTTCTAACATTATGGTTTGGGTTGGGGGAGGGTTTGATTGCATCAGAAAAACCAGTTATATGATTTGGGATGGGAACTTTGGTCCTGTCAAAAAAGTCTACCTGGAGACTGAGATCCATTAAGCAGCCAGTCACCAGCCAGTCATGCTGTGTAATGAGGTGCCAATAAAGTCTCTGAACCGAGAGGCGTGGGTCTCCCAGCCTGGGATACTCCATGTCAGTTACATACCAACTCCTTCTGGTATTCCTGACACTACAAAAGAGAACCTTGGTGTCTACCTAGACACCGATTTATTTCTTCCTTTGACTTTTTAAAAAAAATTATTCATTTATTTTCAACTTGTTATTTTTGTTTGCGGTTTACATGGTATATGATGTAGGGGTATAGGGTGACACCTCTTCAGGTGTATCACCACATCACGCCCACCACAGAGCCACCCATAATCCTCCTCCTGCCTCAACTCTCCCATTTACTCTGTACCTTCACTCTCCCCTTCCGGTAGCCTCAGTTCTGCATGGGGATTTTTAGTGTTTGTTTTGCTTTGGTTTTGTCAGTTCTTATGTTTTCTTTCTTCATATATTCAACATATGAATGAAATCATCTACTATTTGTCTTTCTCCTGATTTATTTCACTTAACATAATCCTTCCCAGTTCCATCTATATTTCATCATGCATATTTACCACATTTTTAAATTTGAACATTTCTTTATTTTCTTACACTTTTGTTTTTGGATAGTGTTTCTTTTGGCTGATTTTAGTCTGTATCTCTCTGAAATAAACTAACATGAATATAATAGCTTGTAATAAGTTGTGCAAGTTTTTCTACATGGATTTGGGAGCCACCAAATCTGCAGTTGCTGTGAGAAGTGAGAATGATTCTTTGTGGAGAATATCTTCTCTAACTTTGTAGTTGGCTAACCTTTTGCACTCAGAGATTAGGAAGGAAGAAATAAAACTGTCTTCATTCACAGAAAACACAATACTTTTGTAAAGAATTCTAAGAAATCAACAAACAATATAGCTACTAAAATTTATTGTTTACCAAGATCTGCTGATACATGAGTTTCAAGACTTAAAAATGTAGATTATCAGTACTGAATAGAAGACAGAGAGGTAGACCCTTACTTATGGTCAACTAAATTTTGGCAAAGGTGCTAAAGTAATGAGAAAAGGATGGTATTTTCAACAAATAGCACAAAATCTGGATATTCACATGCAAAAATGAATTTCTGCCCCTGCCTCTCACCAGACGCAAAATTAACTTAAAAGTAATCAGAGGCCAAAATGTAAAGCTATCAAATTTATAGGAGACAATCTTGTGACCTTGAATAAAGACATGCAGAGCACAGACCATAAGGTATTTAAAAGTTGGATTTCATCAAGTTTTAAAACTTTTCCTCTTTGAACAAAGCTGTTTAAGAAAATAAGCCAAGGCACAGGTTGGGAGAAAATATTTGCAGGACAATTATCTGATAAATGATTTTGTATTTCAGAATATATAAGGTACTTTTATAATTAAACAGTTAACACAAACAACCCAATAAAAAAAAATGAAAAACATTTTTAAAGAGATACTTTACCCAAAAAAAGGAGATACTTAGAGCAAATAAAGGGTGAAAAGATGGTCAGTATTTCCAGTAGTCACTGGAAAATACTAATTAAAACCTTAGAGAGGTACTCCTACACATTTACTAGAATGACAAAGAACAGACAAACTCTCATGTGTTGCTGGTGGTAGTACCAAATGGAATTGGTGTAGACACTTGGGAACACAATTCAGCAATTTCTTATGAAGTGAGATATATACTTGCCATCCAACTCAGTAACTCCATTTGTAAAAACAAGTGTCCAAAAACCTGCATGTGAATGCTTATAGCATAATAATATACTGAATATAATAGCACCAAACTGGAACCAAATGTTTACCAACTTGTGTGAATGGATGAACAATTCCTGAGACATCTGTATAAGGGAATACTTCTTGGCAAAAGAAAGAAAGGAAAGGAGTTGGGGAGGAAAGAGGGGTAAAGGGAGAGAGAAAAAAATAGATTACTCTCACATGCAAGAACATAGAACATGGATGTTTTTCAAATGCACTATGCTAAGTGAAAGAAGGCAGACTCAAAGGCTATATTTGCATGAGTATATTTACAAGATTTTCTCAAAAAGACAAAGGTACAGTGACAGAAAATGCATTATAGTTACCAGGGCCGATGTGTAGGTGGAGGTTTGACTACACAGGAGGTGAAGGAACTATTTGAGGGGAGTAGGGCTGTTTTATGTTGAATTTTCTCAGCAGTGTGGTTAATTCTTCACATTGTACATCCAAAACAAGGGTGGGTTTTAGTTTATGCAATTTATAGCTAAGTGAAACTAACTCTTAAAAGGCCCTAATCTGATAGGCTGTGAAAATATATTTGCAGTAGGTGATAAAGAATTAGTGTCTAATACCTAGAATATAAAAGAATTCCTCTGAATAAGCCTGTTAGTGAAATAAAGTGCACAGAACAAAACAGAAATTTTCCTGAATGTGAAGAATTTTAACAAAGATGTCATTCACTTAAGAATCAGGGAACTATAAATTCAATTTTCAGTTAGTGTTCTATTTCCTATCTATCAGATTGACTCAAAATTGGACCACATGAGAGCTACTTACTAATGTGGTACAATGGAAGCTTAAATCCATTTTTGTAGGGCTGTACTTTGGAAGATCTATTTTTAAAATGGTTTGACATTATCAATATTTAGTAAAATTAAAAAGTTCTTACTCTCCAATCCTGAAATTGTGTTTCTACACCTAGATCCTTTTGACATTTCTTCCACATTTGTACAAGAATATGTGTACAAAAATTTTTATAAAGGAAACCTTCAAAGTTTCAAGAGTGGAATGGATAACTCCATTTTGCTATAGCTTCACAATGTCATATCCTTTTGCAATTAAGATAAGTGAACTATAGGCACATGCACTAAAGTGGGTAGATGTTGAAACTATTATTATTGAATGGAAAAAAATCACAGAAGCATCCAAAAATTAAGAGTATATGTTTATAAGGTTCACAAAGTCTACCTCAGAGGCAGTATAATATGGTCACATGAACATGCCCCTGGGCAGGCTGGCAGTGCTTCATTCTAGCTTTCTACTTCATGATTTTGTAATCTTCAACTCCTGGTGCTATAACCCCCTCACTTGTACAGGGAAGGTACTCATATGTATTAAGATGCGCTAACATGGGATAACACATAGGAAGTTTTGATAAATGTTAGGCAGCATTATTATTCTTTAAGCCACTAAGTAACACTTCAGTGGTGCGAGGTTGTCAGGGAGAGCCCCCCCCCCCACAACCCCTCCTCCCCAACCACTTTTGAGAGCAGCAGAGGCGAGCAAAAAAAAGCCCTTGTGGTGACATGTGAGTGTAGATATTACAGTTGTGATCCTGGATTTGAGTGAACCACACAGGACCTAGGGGAAAGGAAAGGGAATTGAGATTTCTAGAATCTCAGTGATAGTTTAAGCCAGAATACCAGTTTATATTTTTGGCCAACTCCTTGATTGTTCTGAAGACACAAGAATTATAGTATCACTGAAGTTCACACTGATGAAAAATAAGAGCTATATGCAGTCCATTTTTAGTTCCTACCCCTTCACCCCCACATGACTATTCCAGGTGGTAATTATTCTAAATCTTTACCTGGCCACTATTCTGTTTCTTGATTGTGTATTGGAACCTCATCAAAGAATTGGACAGAAGGAAAAAAGGTAACAGAACATATATCTCACTAATTCTCATACCTGGGAGCCAGCCATTTCTGAAACTCCAGATGTGGTATGGCAGGCTGGATTTTCATTATGCCTTTGCAATTATTGAAGAAGTGAGACTTTCAGGCAATCCCAAATTTGTCTATTTTATCTTGCTTCTTATCACCAGTTTTTATAGTTTGATTATTGAACTGTGAGTTTGGGGAATAATCTCTTTATAAAGTATTTTTTTAATGATATATCCTTAGTGTTAATTTTCATACAGGGTTTACTTTACTTTCCAATAGAAGGCTAATGATGGGTAGAAAAGAATGAAAATGCATAACCAAAGTGAACTGTGATCTCTAAGTATTATGAAATCCCATCTACTTCTATGAACATTTTATCATAGCTCTTACATATAGAAAGATGTATTTATTATGGTAAAACTACTGAAATTCCTTGTTTAGTACTTACCCTCTTATTTCAACTTGAGCTATAGCAGTGACGTTGATTTGCAGGTTCACAAAATTGCTGTTTGGGTTGTCCTTGTTAGAACTAAAACACAGTGATTTAAATACATTTTCTTAAACATGTTATTATAATATATGATTATACAAAAACATTCTGTATATCACAAAGAACAATCCAATCATTCAGAAAACAGTGTGCATATTCATATAATAATCTACAAAACATAATCCTTTACAAATGAAATGCTAAAATTCTCTAGCATCAAAAATGTCATACCTGAGAAAAGATCCTATCTGAAAATGCAGATATTTAGAGAAGCGAACACACTTTTGTTTCAGTGGCTAAACCAAAGAGACAATGACTTGAGTTCATTTTCCAGCTTCTACCTTGAACAAATTCTTTAATGTCTCTATGCATCATGTTCATCACCCATCAAATGGGAAAGGACAGCACAGTCAAGTGCTGATTTTCCATGCTAATAAAGAGGAGAACTGGCACAAATAATCCACGAGGAACACATAATGGAAAAGGCATTTGTTTTTGGCTCTGGAATGCATCGTGCCATATATAGTCTTGGCAGCAAATTGATCTTCCGATGGCTTTTTTTTTTTTAAGATTTATTTATTTATGCATACAGAACTGGGGTACAGGCCAGAGGTGCAGGGCGGTGAGAGGCTTCAACAGAGACAGAGTAGGAAGCAAAACAGGCAAATCAATGAAGTACACTGCTGAGGGGATCAGTGGGCGGGTCAGGAGAGGTCTGCGGCACCATGTGGGTCACTTCCGGGAAAGGTGGGGATCGAACTCATGCAGAAGTGGCTTTAGCTTCTAGATGCTATGCTTTAACCCGCTACACCCCCAGGGAGGGCCCTGGCTTATTTTTTAAGTAATATTACAATAAGTGGACATTCATTGCGTGCTTACTAGCTGAATAAGGTGGGGGTGAGGATGAATTAAAAGCATGGCTAATGGTGAGAAACAGCAAAATCCCAGGAATTGGAGGGTTCATACAAAGGCAAGAAAGAAAGCTACTAGATATTTGTGTAGTGCACTGAAAGTCTCAAGATAAAAGGTGTGCATTTAATGTTTCTTTGAACAGTGGCAAAATTATTTTAATTTTCTGTCTCTTTTCCTTATCAGCAGATGTAATTAGATATAAAATTTGACTTTTAAAAGATGCTGTGTTAATCAGTCAATGTAAGGAAGATGAAACATGACTTCAAGAAGTTTGATGAGTAGATAAACTTGGGGGCAGCCTATCTTAACGTTGATGGTTCCACTAAGCTGTCACTGAAGTTCCCCCAGGATCCCAAAGAATTAGCGGTTTTTAGCAAACTAAGCACTGACCACGCCACCACTTGCGGGCTGTGTTTCTATTTAGGTCTTAGTAAGAAGGGAATGTTTCCTCTTTTTTCATCACTGAATCTCATGCTGATTCAATGGAAAAATGGAGAGGATGGAAATAGGTTTGTTTCGACTAGATTTTGAAACTTTCCAAATGTGGGAGCTGGAAAAGATATCATAAAAATTAGCTTTCAAAGAAGGACGAGACAGAATTGCTTTTGAATCCCAGAATGCTTTTGAAAAGTGCTGTTGGATTGTATACACTGATAAGGCAACTTAACTGCAAATACACATAAAAGATATAAACGGGCGAATGTCAGGCTAATTTCCTATAATGGGGTATCACTTTTTAGCTTGTGAAGAGCCTAGAGGGTCTTGTTCACCAAAGTTTGAACCCCAGTTTCTAGGCCATTTATAATTATCACATCTGGTGACGATCACTCAACTAATGCAGGATTCTGAATTACTAACCACTACGAAATCATTAACTAATTCCACTTGTTCCAGACTTTGTGGTTCCAAATGTATTACTGGGAACTCTTTTGCTTGGAAACTTAAGTCTAGTTATTCCACAGATTACCCAGATTTTGTTCTATTTTCTAGTTCACTGCTGCTTTGAAAGATAGATATGAAAAAAAAAAATTCATGTATGTTAACACCATTAATTCGATTATATTATGTTCATTTTGTTTCCAAGTGGTTTAAATAACATAAATTCATTACTCACACACCCTGAAATGTAAATAGGTGGCAAGCAGTAAAACCATCCTGGGCCAGGAATCAACTTATGAGGGTGACAGAGAGCTGTTTTGAAATATAGGGAAATATGTATATATATATATATATATATATATATATATATATAGCAGACTCAGAGACTAGACATGGTTGACTAAGCAAGATCTTCCTGGCTGACTAATCAAGATTGTCTTGTCACAAGTTTGCCGTGACATTTGATACTGCAACCAATGGTGTGAGCAAAGTATCCTGGCAGAAAAGCATCAGACATGATATATAACTCAGATAGTTCTTTGACCTCTTTCCTGGAAGGAAACCACCCTCACTAACACCAGTTTCATTCAAACAAGCCATTCATCACTGTTGCAGATGCTGAGCTATTTATACTGCCAATGCTAATGCAAAGCAAGGAATGGGGAACTTCCTCCCCAGAACTACATACACCCTCTGTCAGGCCCCAAGGGTAAACAAAGTTTTTCACATATTACTCTGATTTTCTTTTCTTTTTTTCTTATTGTTTCCTATTTCCTACTTTCTTGCACTCCCTTTAAGTTTTCTGTGGGCTTGGGAATGTCAGCAAAGACAATACAAGATTCATTTCGCCATTACTGGGAAAGCAATGCAACAATGATCACTGAGACCTGTTTGTATGTGGGAAATGCAATCTGAGACCCAGTTAGCAAGGGAGGGAGATGTTTACATGTCACATAAAGCCAGGACCAGGAGAGACCACTTAGTACAAATATTTGGTAACATGAAATATTTTAAGTTTATTAATTTATAAAGCTCATTTCTCTTCTGGGTTCTATTTGTGGAAAAAGGCATTAAGTGTTGGCAATGGTATTCAATATGATCAACATTTTAAGAATTTAGACTTCGGAGTCTTTGGTTCAATTTATTTTTGGTTTAAACACATTGAAACTGAATGCAAACCATTCATTAAATACTAATGTGCATCTTTGGAACCTGCCAACGGAGCATGTAGATAAACATCCACCTCTCAAACACCTTGTATTTGAGTATTTAAAGTATGTCAGATATTTTTTTTTTTAAAGATTTATTTATTTGTACATACAGATCTGGGGTACAGGTCAGAGGCTCAGGGATGGCGAGAGGCTTCACCAGAGACGGAGTGGAGTGGGGAGCAGAACAGGCAGATCGACGAAGTACACTGCTGAGGGGAGCAGTGGGTGGGTCAGGAGAGGTCTGCCACGCCATGTGGTCACCTCAGGGGCAGGTGGGAATCGAACTCATGCGGAAGTGGCTTTAGCTTCTCAGTGCTGTGCTTTAACCCGCTGCGCCACCAGGGAGGGCCCAGATATTTTTATCTCTATAAAAATCCCAAATTTTTTGGGATTTGATGAGTTAGGTATGTTCCTGTAGCCTCTTTAGTTCTTTCTGCATTTTTACAGTTATATATTTTTTATAGTATTGTTAAAATAGTCATGAGTTCTGTGGCACATGAAAATGGGATTATAATCATGACCCATTCTTTCAGATAAAGAGGGATGTAAAATGTGATTATTTCTATTTTCCATCAAATTTCAGCACTTCATTGCTGAGTTCATTATTTACATGATGATCAACAGGATGGGTCTGGAGAAGGCATCCAGAACATTATTCTGTGTCCTTTGCTCCTTGAGTGCACTATATAGTTGCATACATTTTGTTGTCTATAAGTATAATCAAGAGGGAGAAGGAAACATCAAGGAATTTTCCTTGCACCTACATACCATATGTTTTTCCTGAATAAAAGTGCATACTGTTTGAGAGATGTATTCTTCCCAAGTGACACAGGACTTCATGCCCCGCAGTATCACTGCCATGGAGAATGATGATGGAGAAATAGGGATTTTGGGCTACTGTCTAGGGTGATGACCCTTCATTATGGAGAAATTTTTCTCTTTTTTTCTGAAAACTTTGAAATATAAACAGGACAGTTCCTAAATGAAAACAGTTGGGACTACCTAGACCTTTAGGAAAATACACATTTACATAGATACAAAAAAGTGATTTAATAAGCTTTTTGTGAAATGAAGGTGTATTACAGAAGAACTCATTTCATCTGCTAAGATTCATCAGGAAAAATACTTATGTTAAATTAAAAATAAAACAAAAACTAAGATCAGAAAAGGTCACCAAAAATAAGCTGGAAAAACTTCCTGTCTAGAAATTGAGTATGAAGTTTGAGACGGATTTAGAAATAGATATTAAAATCTGCTACATCCTTATAGGGTCTGTAGAGTTAAAAAAAAAAAAACAAAAACAAAAACAAAAAAACTAAACTTCCATTAAAGTAGCTGTTAAAAAATTATCCACTGTGCAAAATAATTATTCTACAAGTCATCACACTGTGAAGATATTTCTTACAAGTCAGAATAAAAGTTTAGAGATTAGTTATGTTGCACAATTGCCTTTGAATCAAAATGTAGCTACTGACTTTAGTCATTTTACAGTTAGAACAGGGTTCAATATCCTGGCAAGTATAAATAACTGGAAGATATGCATGAGCTGCTTACATTCTTGTCTCTCAAAGTTTTAAAATTGCAGTGTACACAATAATGCTACATCTCATAGGATGTCTTTTGACACACATTTACATGTATCTGAAAGGAACAGCTTATGACTAGGTTTCTGATCTATTATATTCATTCTGTTCTCTTTCTTTTAATATAGGTGTAGAGTCATTAAATCGATTCCATCACAGGCTAATGGATGGAAGCCTGTAGTTGGTAATCACAGGCCCCCATGCATACTACTCCCTATCTCTCTTTCTGCTCATGAAATACTATTTTGAGCCATGAAAAAGCAAACAGAGTAAGTGATAAAAGGGTGAAGTTACATGTGAATCCTGAACAGCCTCAACCTAAGAAAAAGAAGGCAGCTACTTATAGGATCCATCTGTAGGTGCCAGGGAATGTCCTTCCACCCAGCTATCTCATCAGCATCTTGCTTAGAAGTTCCCAAATAACTTTTCATTCACTCATCCATGAAAAGTTAGAATTCAAGATTGAAAATGCAAAATCTAAGTTTGTTTGTCAGACTTTTCTTCTGACCATTATCTGATGCCTACTGAAAGCATGAGAGGTTATGGTGGGGGTGTTGGTGGGAGAGGGAGAAGAAAAAATATGGAGCTGAAGGTGCGAGAGCGCCCAGACAACACTTGAATCTCATTACCTGGCCACAGAAAGAATCTATTTTTTTGAGATAAAAAATACTGAGAAAATGAAAGTAACTGAAAATAGAAGAAAATAAGCTGTGCAGGTCTGGCTTCTAATTTCAGAAGAGCTTTTAGGGCAAAGGAGCTTGACAAGTGGTATTCATTGCATTCTGAATCTTTATGATATATTGATGATAATTTAAGTATTTACAAGTCTAACCTTCTGATTTGTAGATCAAAGTTAATGCTCATGTTTGTTTTCTCAAGACGTGGAACTGCAAATCGGAGGCCCAGAGAATACTAAAAACAAAAATAGAAAAAGCACATAATACACTACGTTATCACATGGGAGAGAACTTGCAGACAGTCTAAAACTCCTTTAAAGCTATTTCTGCAAAACCCCAACCTAGATCACTCTTCACTTCTATACCTGGGGTGGCTGAGCAGAAGTCATGTTACTTAGCTGGCAGGGCCCAGGAAATTTGAATCCCTATCTACCCTGGTCCTTCTCTTCATTTAGCCCCAAACCTAATCTCCTCCTGATACCTTCCTTCAGTGTTAAATTAAAAACAAATTAAATATATGACAGGATAGTAACTTAGAAAAATGCAGCGACTGTAATAGACTGTAATAATTTAGACAGTGAAATCATGGTTACAAAGCCAAAGCAATGATATGGGAAAGGCTTCTGATGTCAAGTAGCCAATAAGGAAACAGTGTTTCCAAATTGTCTGTGCAATGTTTCAGCTATGATTCTAAATCTATAAAGGGGGAAAAAAAAAAAAAACAACTTTACAACGTGAGGGTGTGTTGTAAGAAAATATACCAGGGGAATTAGCTTTACATATCTAAAGGTTATGAGGGTATAGATGGCTTTTTTATTTTCCAAAGTTTTAGAACTGCATTGATTATTTTTGTGATTTGACACAGATTTTTAAAACTTGGAGAATAACAAATTCAGTGATAATAGGAACAAGGAAGTAAAAATAGTAGTCAAGACATAATTATGTCATTCTCCTAAGCACTGTGCTAAACCTTACAGGCACTGTCTCACATAGTCACAGCCACACTATGAGGTAGGAGCAGTGATTTTGGACATTTTATAATCAAGCAGCAATTTAAGGATGAGAGTGGTTTAGGGGCTTGCTCCAGGTGTAGAGCATGTAAACCATAAAGATAGAACTGACACCTTGTGCTCACTGTCATCGCTACATTATGAGAATCGAAAAGAAATAAAACTTATGTTAATTTGAACTAATACATTGTCATTTTATCATAGATCATTATCATCATTTCACTACCTCTTACTCAATGTGCTACACGCCAGGTATTTCACCAATAACTTTCAATACATCAATTCCTTGCATTGCTCCAGACATTCAAGGAAGGTAGTCTTCCTTGACTGTTTCCTTGCCCAGGTATCACAGCTAATATGTGACAAATGGAATTTAAACCCAGGTATTTCTAATTATTAAGTCTGTGTATCTAGATGCTCACACATATTCCAAATGTGCAAGCTTCTATCAGACCTCTGGGACTTTTGCATGCTCTTTCCTCTTTGGAAGACTTTTAGGTCTTTTCTGATTTGTTTACTTGGAGAACTCCTATTCATGCCTCAAAACCCAGGGCAAGAAAATTCAACTTCCTGAAATATATCCTCTGATCTCACAGACCAACTAAGGCTAAAATTTTCCTCTTTTTATTCCCTATTCCATTCTTTACTACTCTCCATCACTCAACCTATGAAAGATTGTTAATTTTGAACTTCTGCAGGTGGTTTATTTGCAACTCGATATTGTTGACTAGCTTTGTACCAGCCTCATAGAAGGAATGATGTTGAAATGATTGAAAAATGATGAGAAAGAGCGTGCCATTGCTCACACACTTACAGTGATGCGCACCTTACTGTATTGTGATGAAGTTTGCCTTTTGCTATTCTTCACTCTTTAGCATGGGCTGAAGGTATAATGGAGGTCGAAAACTTTTCACTAGCAAGACCCACCTAAACCAAACACCAAATATCTGGGCATTGATTGTAAAGTGCTTTGTGAAACAGAGTTGTTTTTCATTTTCCTGCCTGAGAGATTTTTCAAGTTTTAGTGAATTTTGTTGGTATATAAATATTTTATATTGCTAAGCCTATTATATATAAAAATGACATTACTGCTTACAAGTCAAAAGTAAAGTTTTGAATGCTACTTTGAATGCTTTGTTAGGTTAAATTAATGAGTTACTTGATAACTATTTTTTAAAATATTGGAATTTGGGATAAATATTCCCAGTGATTTATGATGCTTTTTAATATTTAGAACAGCTTTTGCATTTGGAATTTTATTAGAATACACTGAGAATTTTCTTTTTAAAGTGTAAAATGAAGAAGTAAATAAATCAAAGTGCTTTATAACAAACCAGAATGCAATAAAATTTGATGGCTTAAGGGCATTAAAGGGTGAGATAAGAAAGCTATTAGGTTTCCTCTGCTATAGACCTGAGAGATAAAACGAATACAAACAATTTACTTCCTTGACTTCTAAAGATTATTTGTTGGTAAAATGAACTAACATCCTTTCTCATAAGTACATTCATGATTAAGACCACACTGCCATATTTACCCTCCACTTTGAATGACAATTGTGGCCAATTTTTGTTCCATAATTATCCTTAGTTATTAATTATTGTAGATGGTCTCTGGACTATATTTAACACTTTTAATAGAGAAAAAGGATTGAGCAGCCAGTTACCTACAGATCCTATTACCATTACCATCACGTCAATTCATTTTTCTTTGACCTTGGGTAGACCTCTTCATATCAAATTAAGTGGTTGGATTTTTTTCTTGAAAACTAGCAGAAGGATTTATTAGCTTTTAGATAAAAGGATTCTAATGAAAAATGTTCTAATATCTTAGCCTAGACATCCCATTTTATCTCTCCTGACACTGTTTTAAAAACTCATCTGTTATTCATTAGATTTTATCCAAGTACTTTTCACAATGTTGCAGACTGGACAGGTCATGGGCTTTTGTGTGTAAACCTGACTGAATCCTACTTCTATTTTTCATTGCCTGTGTGACTTTGGGCAAGTCATTTGACTTCTCTGAGTCTCAGTTTCCACATCCATAAAGTAGAAGAAATACCTGACTCATAGGGTTGTTGGCTAATGTGAAAATTAAATGAGATAACATAAAAATAGTGTCCCAGTTGGGTTTATAACATGGAGGTCAGTCAATGAATGTTAGCTAATTATAATCTGTTACAAAGTTTATCTTTCATTTAAATACTTTTTTTTTTTTTACACAAGAAGTGAGTTTAATAGACATAGTACATTTTTAAAACCCAAGATTAAGGGAATAGAGTTAATTACAGTGTAAACATGCAAAGTATTATTTTAGTACATCTTAAAGTTTAAACTGGGAATAGCTACTCTGCATATGTACCTGAATCTCCAAAGGAGAAGATGATATTCAATAATGACATAGAACTTCTTTCAAAAGGTTTAACTCAAGGGCTTAGCATTCTGGACTATATCTTGGGAAACTGTTCTGATACAAACCTATGCAATTATGTATAAATTTTCATGAACTTTTTTTCAAAAAGCCTATTTCATTGATAATCATAAACACCTCATTTAAAAATAGAGGAATACATATTCTTAGCATAAGTAATATTTATTTATATAGTATTTATAGATTTCAGAAATTCTGATTTATGACCTTGTCAAATAATTATTTCCACTGTGGTATTATTATAATTAGTTACTATGCATATACTTAAACAGCAATTGCCTAAAATAAATTTATCATCCACAGCTAATCCTACATGAAAGTTTCTAAATCTAGAAACAAAGATTAGAAAAAGGGAGGAAAATAACTCCTTATTCTTTCATAAGCTTGTTACAGATCATTATTAATCCTTTCTTTTTCTTGTTACAATTTTCTGTATTATTCTTTAAGTAAGTTGTATGGAAAATATAGACATGGAAAGCTGATTCAAAAACTTGAATGTGGGGTGAAGGGGACTATGGACTATGGTGGAGACTCTGGGTGCCTGGGTGGTAGGTGTGCTGGTGTGATAACATACATCTGATGAGGGGTGACTTGGTACCTCTGAAGCAACCAGTATTGTGAAACAATGTTATTAATAAAAACTGGATTTTGCTAATATGTTAATATGGAAGTACCATGAATGATCTTCATAGGGAAGGCATATCAAAAATAAAAGCTTAATTGTCTTTGCTAAAATCTTTTTTTTTTTTTTAAGATTTATTTATTTGCGCATACAGAACTGGGATACAGGCCAGAGGCTCAGGGGCGAGAGGCTTCACCAGAGACAGAGTGGGGAGCAGAACAGGCAGATTGACGAAGTACACTGCTGAGGGGAGCAGCGGGTGGGTCAGGAGAGGTCTGCCACGCCATGTGGTCACCTCCAGGGCAGGCGGAAATCGAACTCCTGGAGAAGTAGCTTTAGCTTTCAGTGCTGTGCTTTAACCCGCTGCGCCACCAGGGAGGGCCGCTAAAATCTTTAATTATATAATTTCTTAAATCCTTTTTGATGTCTTTGAATTAAAAAAAAAAAACTGGTGGTGAAATGCAAAGAAAAAAATTGGCTGTAAAAAAAAGTAGCTGTCTTAGATTTCTGGTGACTACAAGACATAAAAGTAACATCAAAAGAGAGACATATATACATATTTTAACCTCACATTATCTTCACTGTGTCAGTTAAAATGCTGAATTCCATCACCCTGGTAATTTCCTGCCTAATTTGTTTTAGTTGTTATGTGCCAAGTTGCTAAGTGCTAATTGGGGAACTTCCCAGTAGTTCTCTTTAAGATTCAATTAGACAAAATCAGTAAGAACCTCTGGTTTTCTCTTACATTTGTTCCAGCCACCATGGGGTTCCCAAGGTCACACACCACCATTCTGGTTACATTTTCCATCCTGTACTCACAGCTCAGTGGTCGTAATCCCTGCAATGGAAAAGAACATCAGCATGGAGTTCAAGGCCAGAATAAATGACATCCTGTCACAAAACCAATGCCTTGGGTGAGGGACGCTTCTCTTGACTCCAAATACCTGTTCGAGTAACTGTGACCCAAGTTAATTTGTGACCATCAGAAGAAGAACTTGAGATTAAAGTTGAATTTTAGAAAGAAAAATGTTGCATTGGTAAACATTTTTATTGTATTTAATTGAGAAAGAAGAAAATGTTTAGTATTCATGTGAATACTTTAGAAATTATTTTCACTGTTATCAATGATAAATTTGATATGGAGATCACAAACAATTAAAGGTATCTAAACAAATTTTTTTCCCAAAGCAAATGATGGTAATACATACAGATAGTGCATGACCCTCTAGAAATAGCTGCAAGAGAGTTGCCTTGAACACAAATTCTGCTCCACATTTTGAGATTATGCAATCAATCTAAGTCCAATTTTCTAAATATTTAAGAGAAGACTTTAAATATATCAGGAGTTTCCTATCTCTCTCTCCCCTCTATATTCTGTCATTAGAGCATATAACTCAAGCTTGAGAAGGTACTAGGAAAGCAGATGCGGGAGAAGGTCTCAAGATTACACCAGATGAGCGGTGGGAGAAAAGACTTGTCTTTGAATGCTTGTTCTTTGCTCACAGTTACATCTGCAGTTTTCATGCTACTCCTGATGCCAGGAAATCCACATCTTGGTTTCCATTTGCAGCCATTTCCATACTTCAAAACCTAATGTCCCCATAGCCTTGTTTTGCTTTTTGTGACAGCTATATGTGATCATTTATTATTCCATTCTAAGTTGTTAAGTGCTACTAATATATTTACCTGTCACCCTTATTCCCAGAGATAAGTTTGCAAAGTGAGGACTTTCACAAAAGAGCAAGCTTTGGGGGATTTTTGTCCCATGAGAAACCCATGGAAGAAGATTTCCAAGATGAGGACCATTTATCCATTTGTCGGCTCTATGATATTTTCTACTAAGAGTTAACGATTTTACTGTTTGACAAATGAGAAAGAAGAGAATCACTGATAGTTAGAGGCACCATTTAATACATGCTCTTTTCAAATAACCTGAAAGACATTTCAGTCCAGGAAATAAGAAACTTATTTTCAAGACACTGGTAATAATCTCTCTTCTCAAAGGTTGCTCTAGCATGTATTCAAGTTTTTAAGGAGTCATACCTAATCCTGATCATTCTGGATCTCTTGTGCTGGGATTATTAAGTCAGTCTTAAAAGCAGGAGGAAAAACCCAACTAAAACTTAAAAATACGCTCATGTGTCCCTTGAAAATGATTAAAGGATTTATTTTCTATAGTAAATAGCTTTATCTTATCTAAAGGTTAAAAGTTATATGTACATTTTTTCCAGCTCTCTAGAAATAGCTTTTTCAAATCACTCAAAGATCTTTCTCCTCCAGCCCCTCCACCCTTTTCTTTTTTTAACCTTTATTTCCTCTCTCTGAGTGATGGAAATGAGAATTGGGTTTCCAGATATTTCTAGATTAATTTCCTCAACTTTTCAAGGGATAGTCTTATTCTAAGCCATTTATAGCTCTTAGAGTAAATATGATATATATATAAAAAATCCCTTCTTAGTGAATTTCCAAGTCTTATACAATTGTAGTAAGTAATGATAAGCAGTTATATCCAACAGCGGAAACACACAGTTCAGTTTTCTAAGTGATATAACAGGAGTAATTCATAGTAGCAGGAGGACAAGCACATGGATTAAAGCAATCTGCAGGCTTCCTGAATGAAGTGACATCTCAGCTGATGGGAGGCAGCATAGCTCAGTGGGTAAGAGCAGGGACCTACATCTAGCAGCTCAAGGTCCAATCTTAGTTCTGCTAAATAATAGTTACTTCCCTTTGGGCATGTTCCTGAGAATTTTCCCTTGTTTATAAGATGAGGATAATAATCTTGCCATATCTCTATAAACCTGTTATGAGGATTAAGTAAATTAAATATCTGCAAGAATTAAGATCATTGCCCAGAGCACAGCAATTGCTTAATAAATATTAGCAGTAATACTATTTACTACTGTAATAATATTTATTAATATTTCAAAAATTACTAAGCTTTGTCTTAAAGAATAAGTAGAAAAAATAGATTAATAAGAGGATGAGGCAGAGCACATGTGTCAGAGAGACGGAATGGGTTGGTTGCAAGCTCTCTGAGGCTAGAGAGCTCAGGCATTACAGAAACTGAAAGGAACTTCAGTCCCACTAGAATTTTGGGTGTGGGGTAAAAGTAGGAATTTGGGATGCTAGGGCTGCAGGAGTAAACAGCAGTGATAGAATTAAGGACCTCATGAGCCATCTTAGGGATTTGAACTTTATCCTAAACAGTAGGGAGCTAGGAGGATTTTAATCAAGAGAATGACAAGCTGGCATTTTAGAAAGAGAATTCCTTTGCTGGGAAGGGACTCGAGGGAGGAGGGTGGTAAGTGGGAGGGATGGGTCTGGGTGAATGATGAGACTGTGGACTAATCTCAGGAAAAGGTCAGGGCAGCCTGGATGAATGCAATGACACAGCAGTTAGATGGGAAAGGATATCGGACTCGAGAAGTTCAGTATTAATTTAGGCTTTAGAAACTTGGTGGATACTGGTGCCGTTCTCTTGAGGTTAAAAGTCTAGTTCTCAGCATGCTGAATGGAAGGGGGTGTGAGATAGAGAAGTGAAGTATGTATGAGGTCTCAAGCATAGCCAAATCCATATAAATGGAAAGTGGAACAGTGCTTAGTATTTAATGAACAGGGCTTCAATTTGGGATGCTGTATAAGTTCTGGGCTAATGTGAATGTATTGAATGCCATCGAACTATACTTAAAAATGCTTAAAATGGTAAATGGTATGTGACCTGCATTTTATAATGATAATGATGATGATAAAGTAAAGTATATTGGTCTATTCCTATAAAAATTAACTTATTCAATTAAGGTTTCCAGAAAAAAAAGAGATGAGCAGCATCTATATTCAAACAGATGAATGTTTTCAATAACAACAAAAGCTCACAAGAAGATAATCCCTAATACTCTTCCCCTTGAGAGAAAATTGTTAAAAACAAAATAAACAACAATAACAACAAAACCCTGGAATTGAGTTTAAATGAAAAAGTCCACAAATTTTAAACTGTTTAGAAACTAAGTAGAAATTAAATGTGGCTGGGTGGTGTAAAATTCAAAGACTGAGTTAAACCTCTGCCCAGGGGAATGGATGGAGGAAAAACAGTGAAGGACTCATTTAAGATTATGAATGGTTATGTTTAGAGTCAAAGATAGAAATAATAAATGCTCACCCATGTTTTCTGTACAACAAAGTGAATAGTAAATGGGATGTTTTATTCAAAGAATGTGTTAGAACAGATGCTTTGTTTAGCAAAGTGGGAGTAGAGTGACATAAGGGAACTGAAATAAAAATACGAGTGGAACCCTAGAACATTAAAAAAAAGAAATAACATACTTGAACTTGTTTTGTTTATGTTTTATTTTGCATGTAAGTATTTACATGTGATATTTTCCTATATATTTTATAAGTGGAAATCCCTAATGATTTCACAACTGTCAAAGATACTTGGTTATTACAATCCAGATTAATTTTTTTTTTACTGAGAAGTTAAAAAAATGAAAACTTAAACTTCCAGACTAAAGATGAAAATAGAGAATTCTATATTCCCTACATTTTGAAATGCCAACATCACACCTGTTTCTTGCTACCTCTGTAGAGGATTTTGGCAAATTGCAGATAATTGACAAATTTTTATGAGATGAGCAAATCCATCAGCAAGAATTTCAGAAATACACAATGTGCGTAGTTTTGTGTCGAGGACAGTGAAGACTTAGAGAATGTGAAATCTGGTCCAACCTTAATTGTGAAATCTGTGTAATTCTGAAACCAAGGTCCTCTCTCTATTTTTATAGAATGTATTGATGATTAATGGTTTTCTAAACCATGTGATTAAAAACACAGCAGAACATGCAGATACTCTGAGCGGGAAGTCCCTGTTCTGATAAGGAAAGACATCCATGTCACTTTAATAAACAGTGGCAGTGCAGGACAGGCAAATGGTGAGGACCTGGATTTTCTTGGTTCAAATCCCAAAAAGATGTACCAAGAAGAAAGAAAAACGAATGTGTTTCCTGTCCACTGCCTGCCTTGGCTGTTATCTGTGCTCAGCTGGGATTGGTCAGACCTTCTTCCATAAGCAATAATAAAAACCAGACCTCCCCGGCCCTGCCTGAAACATACAGCACTGAAAACAAAGACTTGAAAGTCGGCGAGGGTGGGAGTTAACTGGGAAGTTTGCTGATATATCACTTCAGTAAGCTTCTTCTTTCAGCCAGTTGTATTTTCTTCCTTGTTTCACCTCTCAAACTTGGGCCAGTTTATCTTTCCTCTATAGCCAAGAAAGATAAGGATCCCTCTTCCTGGCTCATTGCTATCGTGGTTAAGAGAGTAAGGTGTCATTTTATTTTCTTTGATTTAGGAAGAAACTACCAGCTAAAAGGGATGTATATTGCTTTGGCTTGAAAATAGATCTAGCTCTTTAGTACTTCAAATAAGTTGTGGGCATTACCTTGTTGCTGCGTTCAATCCCAACATAATCTGCCTCTTCTGGTATTATCACAAAGACTTCAGCTTCATAAGCTCCTTCTCCTTCATTTCTTGCATTGATCATGAGCATAAGGTGATTTTCATCTCCAATGATTACCTGATGCTTATCTCTAAAAATGCAGTTTTAAAAGAGTTATTAGGTGCTACTCTGGATTCATGGATGTTATTTAAGGAGTTTCCCAGGAGAAGAAGAAAGAAAATGTGGTAATGCAAGACTGGGACAAAAGCAAGAGGATGCATTGTGAAGGGGCAGTGGGAAGAATCAAGAGAATTGTATCTGGATGGGAAGGACAGGAAAACATCCAGTGGTGTGCTGGTCAATGTCTAACAACCAGGAGTCAAAGAGAAAAAAAAAAAAAAAAAAGTACTGATTTGTAGCATTTGCTGAGTCCAGTGATGTAAGTCCTGCCACTATGGGCAATTTCAGTCTACCAAGACATTCAGCAAACTGTCAACAAAAATTCCTGAAAATTAACAATTGACTCCCAAGCCAGAATGAGGCAACTCTAGAATATCACTGAAAACATCCAAAAGGAAGAAATTGTGCAGTGAGGACAAAGGAGAGAGATGGTTTAGAAAGTGAGGGGGAGACATGAAAAGGAAGAAATTAGGCAAATATAAGATCTTGTGTAGTTTAAGGAAATTTAACTCACCCCAAACTTCAAATTGAACCAATGTTTGTTAGTACCTATCTTACTTTTAGTCCTTAATTGAAGCTATTGCTTTGGACACTGGCTAAATTGTGAAGCTTATGTAGAGGTTATCAAGCAGATTCCAAACTCTGGCAGTGAGACAGCCGTTGGGATGGAAATGAGCACAAATTTGCTCTTTCCACCACAGGATGTTTCACATCTTAGTTCCATTTCTTTCCACCCTGTAACACAGTGCAATAACCAGTGGTGGTCCAGAGACTCTCCCCTATGGACAACTGGGAAGTCCTTTTAGTCTTACTGATTTGGGGAACCTTCTGCTTTACTCCATGGGGTGCCATTACATTTTCTTTCCAATTAAATTTTATTTTGCATCCACAAATTTAAGCATGCCTCTGAGTCAAGGGATGCTGCAAAAGCTGGTTTTGCTCAGGTGTAAAAGAACAAGCCTATCTGAATCCTTTGCCCACATGACTGAGGCAAGTAAACATGACCTGAACCACCCCACAGATGAGTTTACTCTGAACAAAAACACTTTTTTTCCACTTTTGCTGAAAGATGAAACAGCTCAGGCAAAATTGTAGGGTGTGTCACCTGACACCGATGACAAAGAAGTGACCCAAACCACAGGCTAACCCAAAGTGTAGTCGAGCTAAAAAATCTCATGCGGTGTGTTTTTGAATAGTAGTTGAAAGTGTATACTTTCTCCAGAGAAGTTTTAAACAAACACCTGTATTCCATTAGATAAAATGCACACGTTTATTTATTTAAACTTACGGTCTAGCTGACAGCTTCAAGTCAGGAATGCACATGTTGTCTTCTCCACAGTCCACCAGGATGTGAGCCTATGTTGTGCAAATACATGTGAGGAATAACCTTGGAAAACCTCAGTCACATCCTTTTTCTTTGATTTTACAAATTAAACCAAAGCTTTCATTTCTATACCTCTACCTAGCTAGAAATCCAATATTAGACAGTGACCTCCCAATTTAGGCTAGTTTACATATTAGCCCATTTCTAATTCATACTGAAATCCTGTAAAGAATGCTACTCTGGAAATGTTTGGAGGATTATGGGCTGTATTGTTTCCATTAAAGCCACATTTTGAACAAATTAAATCTTGGTTGCACAAGGGGACGGGCTTCCGAAAACACAATGATGCAGTGTTTTGGAAACATGTTAGGAGAAACTCTCAAATCTTACAAGGTTGTGTGCAGGAATGAAAACAAAAGGAACTGGATTTCATCTTAAGGTGATAGGAGCAATGCCCAGGTCCTGACTGAGAATATACCATCAAAAATATCAGTGACCTACCTGTTCACTAACACTATTGTCCCTGTAGTGGTTCAGTATTGGTTTTACTTGCAGACCCTCCTTAAAGGTGGAGTCATCCAAACTATAATTCAAGCTAATGTTGATTGGAGATAATTTATCTCGGAATTCAGTTTCATCCTGGAGAAAATAATCACAAGCTCAAGAAAAGTTCTGTGAAATAGCTGTCTGTGAAAGGAAGGGAACATCCGACTAGTCAGTGGAAATAAATGATGAAGTAATTGTCACGAGAGCAGCCATAGAGTAACCCTCACTGATGTGGGATGTAGTATTTGACTTAATATAACTTGAAAGATGAAATCCTTTAGAGCGGAATATTCAGATCCTTTTAGAGGGAATATTCAGATCCTCCAGATCTTCAGCAACTCACACAGATGTTCCAGTTGCAAAATAAAAATTGTACTTACATATTCAATGAATGTCATTAATTGGAATTTTAATTTTCATGAGTTTGGCAGAATTTATGAGTCCTCATGTGCTCAAAGAAAGCATCTTGCTCTCTTCCTCTTTCATTCTCTTTTCAAACTAAACACTCTTGCACAAATGCCAGTGAACCTTCAGCACATTTGAAGTTCCCTCAGAAAAAGAAACAGAATTCCCCTGGGGTGAGGGTTAGCCCAGCAGCAAGCTTTGAGCACACAGGAGCTCTCTAAACTGTGTAGGGGGCATGCTAAGCTGTGGGGACTCAGAGCTTGGGTCGTGCACCCAGCTTATTCCAGAGTGGGTTGTGAACCTCTTGCCTTGCCCTTCTCAGAGGACAGGAAATGAAAAAAAGTAAATAATCTCACAGCTAAACAGAAGACAGAATAAGTGTACTGTAAATAATTTGGCTTTTTTATTTCATGGCTGGTTTTGGAGTTACTGGAAAAATACATTGCTTTAAAATATAATTATACATTATTTTTAATAAAGGTTGAATGCCTAAACATTTTCCTAAATTGGCTATGAAATGTACTTTGATAAAATCTGGCCAAACATCCTCACACAGGACAGAAATTCAGATAAATTGTTTTCAACTTTCATGTTTTTGGGGGGAGGTAGTTAGAAATGAAAACCACTTGAGTTACGACCATTATCAAGATCATGGTCAGAAGGAAAAGAAAACCTTAGGACTTAACAGAACACATTATTAAGTTGGCTTAAGGGAGACTCAAGTGGGGAGTGTATGGTTTTACAAGAAAGTTTCCTCCAATTAATGAAAATAGATACAGATCTACATAGATGATTGTGATGGTTCAGTGGGAAAAAGTGGTTGCAGTATGCTCTGAACACAGAGCTCAGGAAAGTGGTTGTGAACACTTACACGCAGGTAAACAACAAAGTCCCGGCATTGGTAGGATTTCTGCTGCTTTATCAGGAGAGGGAAGACCAGATGTGACTGATGGTTATCAAGGAAGAGGGTACGTTTAATGGCTCCCTTTTGTTTCAGGGAATCTAATTGCACCTCGGCAGTCAGACCTAAAGGACAGAAATAAAGTAAATATAATCAGGAGAGGGATACTATTCTGAGTGTAGTGCTCTAGTTGAAAGACACATTCTAGTTTCAACTTGCTTATTCAGGAAACATTTGTTTTTTTATAGTTGGGATCAAAAACAATATATGAGATGAAAAAGAGTTTTCTAAAATACTACCATGCTAAATATTTGGTTTTGGAACTATTTTATACAGTCAGTCCCCCATATTAATTTTTATAGATAATATTAATATAATTAAAATCATATTTATGTAGAAGATGCCATAAAGTCAACTGAAATTGTGGTATTAATATTCTTTAAAAGTTTTTTTTTATGATCTGTGCAGAAAAATGCTTATTTTGGAATTTCTTAATGTAGCAATTTCTGAATGTAAAAAAGGAAAACACACTCACCAATTGTATCTGAAATACTCTGGCCTGCTACCGAAGCACATACTTTTAAAGAAAAGCTATGGAAAACAATAATCAATAATTTATTGGTTAATACAGTTTTGAATCTGAAGTAGAATTTTCACCTCATCCCAGATAAAACAAATATATCATTTTTCTCTATACGTCTCTTATTACAAATAAGTAAATATCTTTCTAGCCATCCACTCCACCATGTTAGACAATACTAATATGATTAAAATAGGTGACATCACAAATGTAGGTAGTACTTTATAGTATTACTGGAGGTTAACTGAGTTAATCAATGGATTATTTATGTGCTACCTTTATTCAATAAAGACACATGAATATCTTCCATGAGCCAGAGAGTGAAGAATTAGGCAAGGCAGTGGGGGAACCACTAGGTAGAAAGCCTGAATATAAGTAACATCCTCTTCCTTTGAGGAACCTGAAGAAACTTGGTAAGATTGGAGCATAGAGCAAGGTGGGGAAGCTGGAGGAGGCCATGCTGACTGGGTAGATTCTGAAAGTCATGTTAAAGAATTTGGATTTAATCTTAAGAGGCATGGACTACAAAGACATGATTAACCTATAACCCCATTCTGTTTGGAAGGAGAGCAGAATTTAAGGCTAATTTGTGGGGAGTGGAAGAGGGAAAACATGAGGAGTTTGGAGTGATTTCTCTCAAGACAGGTGGAGAAAATAATAGATGGTGCATGTAGACAATAAAAGAGGGTAGAAGTGTAGCAGAGACTTCACAGTTTTGCCTTGAACATGTTCTAAACTCAACCCAGGGAAGGGTCTGCCGGGGATTATACATGATTGAATTTAGAGCTGTGATCATTGAGAGAATGAGAGACTAGCCAGTTGTCTCTGACTGTTGAAGGTGCTCACCTCCCTTCTGAAAAATGTCAAGCCCTAACAGCCTGCATTTGAGATGGGGCTTTTTCATACTTCTAAGAAAGTAAACATACATGAAACTACTTAAGTATGATTTAATGACAGTCTTAACATATTTGTGAGTAAAATATTATAGCATGACTTGACTATTTCTACAGAATCCAAAAGAAGTGAATAATCCCTAATCATACTTTACTTATGTGTCAGCTTCCTGTGTCAAATATAATGAAAATGTGTCACATCTGGGATTCATCTATCTACCGTGACCTCAGTCAATGTCTCCCTTTAGGGTAAATAATTTGCCACATGCCATTAAGTCAGAGTTTCCCGGGATGTCTCTGCTATTGCAAGCATTTGCACCATTTCCTCGGAGGAATCACAATTTCCAGCCCACTTCTACTTCAATTAGAATTATTCAAGAGAGACGAATAGAATAGTTAATCACATTTTTAAATTTAGCATCAGGGTCTGGTGTTAAAAATTGGAATTTTTGTCCTGTGTCCAACTTTTTTGGAAATATTTGGTCATGTGTTAAAATAGCAGAGAAAGCTGATGAGCTTTTCAAAATAATATAAACTGCTATTTGAAATATCAACATGTAAATTAAAATAATTTTAGATATAGTATCTTGTTTAACACAAACAATTCAAGAGAAATCTTTTAAAAGAACTAGATTAAAACTATGAATATGAATATTATTTCCTCTTTGTGAGAAGATCAAGTGATATAATCATTTGAAAAGTTACTCCGGATTTATGAATTATATGACAGTGTTATTCTATAATTCCTTTTTCATTCCCCCTTTCTGTAACCTTGATATCATTAAGTGAATCATACAAATTTAATGTAACTGCTACAACATGCTGGATTATTAATAATAGTACTCCAACGTGAACCTGCTAGTTTATATATCTCTTAGCAGAAAAGAATTATAAGTTTCTAAACAACCTATTCTGATCTAAAAAGTAAACCTCAAAATTTTGTGGTAGTAAATATTCTTTCTGAATTTAGAAAAAATACTACATTATGTTACACTATGCTATGTTATGCTGTTATGCTATATATTAACATGCACATATCTACATTGTGTTTTATATACCAGGGTTAGGTTCACTCACAGGTCTAAACCTCATCATACAGCATACTTTAGATGTTAGAGAAAGCTGTAAACTATTATTAAATTACTACTGAAATGCCAAACTAGAATTCTAAAGTAGTTAAATTGTCAAACTAAAATAGTCAAAAGGAGTAGATCTGATTGAAACAAAAAACATTAAATCAACCTATGTCCCTCTTACCATAAATTTTAAATGAAACTGTGTATAGTGATTCTGCTATGTCAGCAAGCAGAACAACACACTACAAATCCTCTAAGACTATTCCTAAAGCAATTCAACTGTGATTGAAAAACACTTCTGTGATACAGTGGGATATCAAGAATATATGGTATGTATCGTCCATAGCCATGAATGATGGAGAAAGAACAAGATAAATGAGAAACACATCTAAACATACAAAGCAATTACTTTTTTGATCAATTCAGTGTATCAGATTTTACATAAGGTTAGGCATATCTTAAAAGTTTTTCAGGTTAGAAAAATGGAAAACTATAGATTTTTACATTTCTAAAGTGAAAATTTTTCACTTTTATTTTTCGGACTGGCAAATGTCAATTATATTAATCTTTTGAATGGACTTTATTTAGAAAAGCCAGTAGCAGAATCTTTATAAAACTGCACAGCTGTTTGAAAGACACAGAAATTTACATTGATGGAAGTGAAAAACGGTTTCCCAGTTAGAGTTTGCGTAATAGTTTTCAGATGTACAATATGAGGTTATATCAAATACAGACAAAAGTTACAGCAAAGAAAATCAACAAATGCCTTCCAATCAATTTGGAAAAACTGAGCTAAATTCCTAGAATAACTTTAAAAAGTATCAAAGAGAAACATTCTAGACTGAACCAGCTGCTAATTTTTTATCTTTTAATATTCTGAGTCATTCAATATTTTGCATGTGAAAATGAAACATCTTTCAGAAAATGTGTGCCATAGATTCTAATAAGTAAGTACAAATGTATACATCACATATTTGCCCAGATAACAACTTACATCTTAAATTTAATTATGCGTGAGGCCCTCCCTGGTGGCGTGGCGAGTTAAAGCACAGCACTGAGAAGCTAAAGCCACTTCCACATGAGTTCCATTCCCGCCTGCCCTGGAGGTGACCACATGGTGTGGCAGACCTCTCCTGAACTGCCCGCTGCTCCCCTCAGCAGTGTACTTCAACAGTCGGCCTATTCTGCTCCTCACTCTCTTTCTGGTGAATCCTCTCATCACCCCTGCACCTCTGGCCTGTACCCCAGTTCTGTATGCACAAATAAATAAATCTTTAAAAAAAGAAAAAATAATAATAATGTGATTTAATACAATTTAATACAATAAGAAATGCCTCAAAAATAATATTAAATATAATTTTATAATTGTATAAATGGTTATATATATAACTATAATGTAAAAATAAATTTTTTCCGGCTAGGGAACTAACCCACATGACGCAGCAGACCTCTCCTGTCTCACTTGATGCTCCCATAAGCAGTGTATTTCAGACCATCTACCTATTCTGCTTCCTGCTTTGTCTCTGTTGAATCCTCTTACCCTCCACACTTACTCTGGCCCATACCCCAGTTCTTGTATGCATAAATAAATAAAAAATAAATTAAAAAATTTTTTCCACAAAAAAACCCAGGTCTCATAATCTGCTAAAACCACTTAAAATTTATGAAAATATTCAAAGGACTAGAAATTCCTTAAATTTTTTTAGAAGTGATATATATATAGTGGAATGAACATTTTGATATATAAGACATGCCGCATACACAAGAAGAGTCGGTCCATTCGGTAATGAATGTGTGAATACAGTATTATTGGGGAAATACTAAAGCTTTAATACTTGCACCCAAGTAGCTCTCACAGTTCATTTCATGTTTATTTAATCATGCCACAGTTAAGAATAGATGCTGGTTCTTTCAATTTTTTCTCAGATCAGGTTTTCATTATAATATTTTATGGCTTTAAATCATTTTAAAATGTGCTCGGGGCATTTCCCAGCTACTTTCAAAAGCTGCTGAAGGAAGTTTTTCCAAATTGGGAGCTCCCAGCAAAGGATGTTTTTAAAAGGATTCCTCACTCAGGGTTCTCCTTACTGGCCACCCCTCCCCACAGCCCCCCACTCCCCACTCTCAAAGGTTTTGACTCTGGTATGAACTCCCGTCAGAAGGCTGTTAAAAACACACTGAAATCAGCCAGAAATAACGCCTGTTGGTCAAGACGGGTTTGTTCTGCATTCTGGTATTCTCGGGAACAAAACATATTGAGTTAAACCACATCTTCTAGAAAATGAGGGTGATTTTCAAACACTCCAAATATTTGTTGATTTGTCAGAAGAGATACCCTATTATCCAGTAGGGACAGACTGATGTTCCTTGAGGATATAAATATTGAGAAACAAAGTGACATTTTCTCCAGATTGTTAAAATTGGGGTTCATTCTATAGTCCTGTCAGATGATAACAAGGCTCCGGGAACACTGTTGGGGCTGAATAAGCCATGTTCTCCTAAGGTCTAGGCAAAGGAACTATGATGCTATCACTATTCCTGATAATGAAATCATGGTCACAAAAGTACAGGGCACAGAAATCTCTATTTTTATAATGTTTACCTCCATCTAATTGCATATACTAAGTTTCAAAACCGACATCTGTTTTCAGCATAGAAAACTGAGTAATTTAACCCAAGCTTGACAATTAAAAAAAAGAGAGAGAAATTGCTTTCAAAACTATCCAAAATAAGGCATTTCAATCACAGGAGACCGTGGAAAATGATGTATCTAAAAGAATCAGCCTACTCTTTAAAAAATATTGAGAAAGAATTTATATAGGTTACTTTATCCATTATAAAATAATGTATATTTAATATAAAAAAATTGGAAAATAATGATATGTAAATAGAGAAAAATCACCTATGATTCCAATCAAAAAGAGCTACTCTAAACATTTTAGTATTTTTTAAAGCTCTTTTTCTTTGTATAGATTGTGTTTGACATAGTTGTGATGAAAGTATAAATGCAATAGTGTTTGTGTCCTGAACAATTTATTTCACTTAATGTTGCATGGGGCTATAAAATCTTTGCAACAATTTTGAAAGAGAGAACATTTATATATACATATACAGTTGAAAAGTGGCATTCATAAGCATATGCAAATGTGAGAGTAGAGGTAGTTTTATTATATTTTTTAATTTTGGTAAATGTTTATCAAGTAGCCAAAAAGAGAGATGTTTCACTGAGAATTTCCCCTAATATTTTTATGTTTCTCATCTCACTTGGAATCTAGACATTGGAGAAATAATCTTCATGTGAAAAGTCAACAGCAAAAGATGAGCATCATGTCATAGACCCCACCACCACCACCATCCACCATCACGTTTTTTTTTGTTTGGAGAAACAAACCACTTGCCACTTAATTTGTATGCACAGACCCACAGTGTCTGCACCTTTGGGGAGCTTTTTAAAAGCAGTCTCAGGCCACACCTCAGACTTATGGATCTAGACTGAATGAATCTGAACTTATGGCTGCATTTTCATGAGATCCCAGGTGTTCTTGTGTGAGAAGCATATACTCACCAGGCCACAGGTGTCAGAAATCCTGGGATCTCGCAAGTTTTATTTTCAAGATTTATAATCATTGGGTGCAGCAGAAGCTGGGCATCCACTGTCACAACTGGCCTTGCCCTGCAGGGAGAAAACAGGGTTTTTTTTTTTGGTTAAAGATTTATTTATTTATGCATACAGAACTGGGGTACAGGCCAGAAGTGCATGGGGGTGAGAGGATTCACCAGAGACAGAGTGGGGAGCAGAACAGCAGATGTACTAAAATACACTGCTGAGGGGAGCCAGCGGGAAGGTCAGGACAGTGGCTGCAGATAGCTCATAGTGCTGTCCTTTAACCTGTTGTGCCACCCCAGAGGGCCCAAAACACAGGGTTTTAATGAGCCATATGAATCACAGGCAGAAACCCATCTGCTTCCAGAAGCTACTGCCAACATTCTCAGCCTTTGTGTCAGGAATTTGCCTCACCGTGTGAACTGGTGGACACCAGACTCAACTTAGTACTCCAAAACACATATGGTAGCTCATGAATACAAACAAAGGATGCTCTGGGCCTGTCAAGTGAGGCCATGCTCTCAAAGCTGCTTCGCTAGAGTGCACTCAGAGTTGTTTGGCAACATAGCTGTGAAGTACAGCTTGGGCATCTGTGAGCCTATCTTTACCGTTTTTCATGTTTGTCAGTGCTGAGTTCTGCATTTTCTTCCCTTTACTGGTGATAATTTCTGACCATGCTTTGTGGATTTAACAAAACACAAGAGGGTTGAGTACTTCATACAGAGCAGTGGTTCTCAACCCTCACTGCACAATATAAGCACCCAAGGAAACTGACACACCAGACCCAGGCCTACTATAGATGAATGGAGTCAGAACCTCTGGGGGTGAGGGCCTTGCAATGGAATGGGAACCAAAACCTCCAGGTGACTGTAATATGTGGCCAGGTTTGAGGAGAGAGACGAATCTGGCATAAAAATTCTAACCACCCAAGTGGGAATAACCAGACAAGAAAGTAATTCATAGGAAAAAGCAATAGGGTAATTTAAAAAAAAAAAAAAATTTTTTTTTTAAAGATTTATTTATTTATGCACACAGAACTAGGGTAACAGGCCAGAGGTGCAGGGGCAGTGAGAGCCTCCACCAGAGACAGAGTGGGGAGCATAACAGGCAGACCAATGAAGTACACTGTTGAGGGCAGTAGCGGGCGGTCAGGAGAGGTCTGCTGCACCATGTGGGTCACCTCCCGGGGCGGGATCGAGCTCATGCTGAAGTGGCTTTAGTTGCTTAATGTTGTGCTTTAACCCACTGCAGCACCAGAGAGGGCCCAATGGGGCAATTTTAAAAGCTTGTTTCCAATATATGAGGGTTGAGGACCCAGGTGTCCAGGTGACATGGTGAAATGGTTGGCTAAAGTTTCCTCTGACAGGGGAACGTGTTAAGGGGAAGGATGTCCTAAAGGAACTCTGCAGAGTCTTATGGACTCTACTCCCTACTCCAGCTTTCTGGACACTACCCCCTACTCCAGTGATTTGGAAACTACAACTCCCAGCAGTACCAGGGAAAGAACTGCAAGGACCCAAGGGCGGAGCTAGCAGGAATTCTGGGACATTTGGGGGAATAAATAGGGTGCGATTGCAGCTCTCGCTCTCTTTCTTGGGAAATGGTTCTGGACGGCGTGACTTAGTGTGTTCAGTCAGCCTAGCTCTAAGGTATTCCAGTTACTTTGTATCCCGCTCTCTTTCCGTGGGTTGTTTCCTATTCCTATTCCTTTCCCCTTTTGTAAATAAACCCATTTTTGACCCTTTTCTGTGTACCTGCAGTATAACTGACTTGTGAGCGCGTGGTTGAGGCCCCACAGACAGGCGGCCCAGTCCACTATGGGCTTCCTTGTAACAGAAGGCTGTGCCTTGGGGTTATAGGATGTTTACTGCACTTCTTTAAACAGTTTTATGATTACCACAGTGGGGAACCTGGGAGTTTTCCTAAACTTGCTATACTAATTTTCTGTGCATTTTAACATAATTTTGTGCAAGCGCCAGTCTTTGGAAAAACAGACAATAGGACAGGATTAGATATGAAAGACATTTATTAAGGCATGAACCTGTAAGGAAAATAGCGAGAGAGAGATAACACTGTCAGAATGGGATGCAGGTGTGACTGCTGTGAAGGAGAGGGAGAAGAACATTCCAGCCAGGCCACTGGGGAGAGATTTGTATCTGTGATATTCAGGAATTACCACTGAACAGCTCAGAGGAAATACCTGGTGGTGGACTCAGAGCATAGCTTTGGGACTGGGAGTCCATCTCCCTCTGTCAGCTCTGTGTGGGATATCTTTGTGGCCACCACAGGCATAAACCTTTTTCAGAGCATTTCAAACATCTGATTTTCCATAACCTCAAGTGGGGATCCACTGGTATACACTAGTCCCCTGAGTTTGTCTTGGGACTGATACAAAGGAAAACCTTATCTGTATGAGGACTAACCTGAGACCCTCTGGGAGTTGGGCTCTGAGCACTATAGACCCCAACCACCTGGTCTGATTTTGGGTTTTTGTCCAATATTTATGATGTCACTTACATGTGAAATCCCACTTCCCACACCCCCTATAAAAGGAACTTGAACTTACAAATAAAGAGAACAGATTGGCAAAATGGATGAAGTGGGCGAAAAATACCAACTTCCAGTTATAAAATAAGTTCTGGGGAGTGATGTGCAGCATGGTGACTGTAATTAATAATTGTACTGTTGCTTAGAGAGCTGATACTAAAAATTCTTATCAAAAGAAAAAAATGTAACTGTGTACTGATGGATATTACCTAGACATATTGTGGTCATAGTTATTTCATAAAATATACAAATATTAAATCATGCTTTTCACTTGAAACTAACATAATGCTATATATGTCAGTTATATCCCAAAAAAAAGCATTTGCATATACTAACCACATACCTGTAAACAGCTACTTTTCCTGTTCCAAATGCACCCACAATTAAATCTAAAAAGGCAAGAATATAAAACACATGCATAAATGTTATGAAGTTTAATCTCATAATCATAAATAGCATGTAAGCATCTATGTGGTGATTGTGGAAGAAGAATCATAAAATACAAATCGTGCCTTTACAACATTTTGGAAATGAAATTTCACTATAACTAATTCAAGTGACACCTACACCAGTAGATCTCACCTTCTGAAGGTAGGAAAGTCAACTTTCTAGGAAACTCATTATGACACTTTTTCCTTTCCTTTTCCAGACTCAATGCACACATCTTTTGGAGAGCAAAGTGAAAACATATAGGCATAGAATCTACTGTGTATAGATCTCCTTATACGTATTGTTTCATTATCTCCCTATCTGTCAGTAGTATTGACCATGAAATAGGACATTTTTACTGTAATTTTGATGCAACCAATTTCTTGTTTTTCATGAAAGTGTGGATGGTGAGCATACATATTTTTGACAGAGTGATCATTAGTATATGTGTAATTGATCTCATAAAGCTCTTAAATAACAACAATGATATTAGTAAGTAGCAATATTGTATACTTAACTCAAGGGGAGGGATTCTTCTACATGATTGACCTTAATTGATTTCTAACAAGAGGTAGGTAGCACAATTTTGCAGATTTAGTGAATTGAGGCTTGAGGAGTGTAACCTACAAACTCACTGAAGTGTACACAAGTCAGAAGAAGTGGAGTCAGACTACAGCAGTGCTAGCTATAGAGCAGTCATAGCATAGTTACGGGATAATGCTCACATTATCTCAATGATTGGCTAACGTATTGGTAAAACTATCTGTTTTTCTAAATCTAATATATAACGGCTATTCTTAGTGGATACAATCAAAGTAGTTATAAGAAAACTTGGAAATAATGGAAAACTTAAAACAATTGAAATTAAATTGGTTAATTCTGATAGAAAAGAAGTGAAAATGGAGAAAAAGTGAAGGGACTTATTAGGCAACTCCACATGGAAAATGAATCAAGGAATTAAATTAGATTTAATGGCATTTGCACAAGAAAATGATTTGTAGCCTCATTCCCTTGGCAATCACCTTTCAGTACAGAGGGAAGAGCAGACTGCAAACACATATGAAGCTTCTCTGGAGTTTTCTTTTGGCAAGGCGAGGGAAGGATGGCAGTGCCCCTGCCATAACCCTCAGCCAAAGATGGATAGGAGAACTAGACCATAATAGGGATGACAGCTACTTTTTACCCTCACATGAGATACCTCTGAGGCATGTTCTTCCCTGGTTCCCAGATTTTCTTACCCAGGTAAAGTCCTAGTTGCTCACAGAGTCAACTTGTTCAATCCTGATCTTTTATTGACTCTTTCCATTTCTCTCTGTCTTAGTAATGCTTTTTTGGGATCATTTCCCAAATAAGCTGCTTCTTTCTAATTCTTGCCTTAATGTCTTCCCTGGAAGAAACCAACCTAAGACACAATAATTCTTGTTAAAGTGTTTTAAATAGACTCATATATCTTTAGGGTTAAAAACCACAAAGTGTCTCATAATTTCTAGAGTCAGATTCAGATAATCGAGTCAGGACTGAATTCTAAAGGCCCATATGTGAAAAGATGTTCAGACAAGTCAAATGAAAGGCATTGAAAGAGCTCTGTATTTGTGAGATTAAAGAACAGGTTAATCAAAGTTAAACTCAGTCTATTAAGTTTCATGAAATAAAAAATTACTTTCTAAGGGTACAGATCTTTGAAATTAGAAGTCAAAGTTTCTAGGTTTCCAATTTTAAAAATTCTAACAAAATTTACAGTAGAATTACAACTACTTTCGTATTTATTTTTCCTGTTACCTCTTCCTGCATGTCAATGCATTTTTGCTAGGTCAGGAAAAAAGAGTGACTGATTAGAAGAAACATGAACTCTCTTCTCACTGTGTAATCATCGTCTCCAATATTTAGACAAGTGTAACACAGGTGGTCACAGGCCAGACCTGTATCTGTTGACACAATGCCTACGAGGAGAGTTCTGTTATAAACCCTGATAAAGAGGAATTAAGCGCTTTGTTCTCAACTTCAAATAAGGTGAAGTATTTATATACCAAGATTAGACATTTTATAAATAATAAATGAATTGTAAGACTTGATTTTCTGCAAATGACAAAGACAAGATGGTAAGCTCTTCCAGGACGGAAATCTCTCTTCAGGGTTACCTGTCACATTTGCATATCACTACCTTATCAAATGATAAGGACTGAAATAAATGAAGAAAGAAATCATCTTTGTAGCCACAGTGCCAGAGCCAGAGCAGCAACTTTATAGATGCTGTGAACTAAGGAGAGAAGTGGCAATGAGGTAACATACCAAAGGGGAGAGAGATGGAACAAATCCACCGTTATTAAGACAGGCTAATGTAAACCACAGTGAAATTCTGCTGACTTTTGCAGACATACTGGAGGGTATTGGGAGAGAAATATACACACACAAACAAGCTCCAGATTCTAAGAAATAACATAAAGGCTGCATCACGACTAGGTTTGTTGTTATATATGTTTTTAATTTTATTTTTAATTGCATTAACATTGATTTACATGGTCATTTGTGGTTTTAGAGGTATAGGATCTCCCCATGAAGGTGCTGTTACTATAGCACACTTACTGCCAAAGCCCCCACAGTGCATGCCCTCCCCATTTTGTTCTTAACACACCTCCCTCCCCTCCACTCTCCCTCTCTGGTAGTCATAGTTCCAAATAGATTGTCACTATAGATGAGAAGCTGAGAGACACCCTTCGGGTGATAATGAGCAAGAAGCCTTTGCATTTAGGAACTTTACATTGTATGCCATGGGGGTGGGAATTTTCCTGCTGTGAAAAAATTAAACAACTGGCAAAACCGACCACAATTTTCTTCATGAGAATGTGGCCATGGTTATTCAGAGGCCAAAAAACCACTTATCTACCAAAATATGTTTGTCTTTTGAGACATCACCTTGGTATCATGCCTCTAGAAAAGCCAAACGCATTTATACTCAGAACCTTGAAATGATCAGATCTCTCCAGGGGGAGGAGGATTGATTTGCTGTTTTATATTTCTAACCGATTTGTTCTTCCAAAATATATGACTTGTTTTGCTAATTACTATGTAGTTCCATATATGGGTGTGTATAAAATGTTATATACATGTTCCATATATGTGCATGTGTGTGTGGATACATCATATGTATGTATATATGGATACGGATATATATATATATATAGACATATATATATGTATATATGGATACAGACATATATATATGTCTATATATAGAGAGAGAGACATAGACATATGCACACACACAAAATATCTTCTAAAAGTCTTGCACAGTTCCATTATGTTCAGGAATTAAATGATAAACAGAAGACAAAGAAATTTTGGCGCTAATATTTGGATTCCTAACTCTGCAAATTTTCTCCCTCACTTTGAGATAACAGATCTTATAGCATTATCTAATGTTTACTTTTCTTTCTTGTAGAAATGTCTTAAAGGCAGTCAGAAAGCAAAGAAAATTTCTGCCTTTCTTTATACATAAACACTTTAGCCAGCAACTAAAATTGGTTCTTTCCCCTTAGTCAAAAACTGTTCTCAAAATGCTGGAGTTCTTTGTTATCAACTCATACTGCCTAAGAAACAGTTTATTTTCCTTTTTGGCTTTTAATGGAACAACTGAGTACTTTTAAGGGCACAAAAGGGGGACATTAGCATGAATGCAGGATCAGTTGGCAAGAGAAAATAACCTTAAAAATGTGAGGTCATATGAAATGTATTATACCTCTGCTTTGCATTTTATTTCTCCAAAATTGTTATTTTTAAACAAAGAAGAAGAATAGAGCCAAGCTTTTAAAGTGTACTTGGCATATGGATCCTGATTTCATTAATCTATGAAGAAAAATTTAGAGTTGCAAGAAGTTCTATGTGAAAGCATCAGTCTGTTTTGAGTGTGGATTTCAAGTTTGGGCATAGGTAGGCAGAGGCAGGAGAGGGACAGTAGACACTTTAGAAGGAAGGAAACATGAGGAAGAGACAATAGGAAGAGAGGTGACAATTTTAGGCTATAGAGTGACTCCGAGTTGTTTCCATCTCTGTCATCCACTGTGGCTTACTCTGCAGGACTTCAAGTGCTCCTGGCTAATGTTGCGCCTGGGTGAGCGCACTCCCCAGTAAGGCCAACAGACAATTCAGCAGAGCACAGTGCACTCTGTCCTGCAAATAGCTGCAGCCCACTACTTTGTATCAAGCAGAAGCTACAAGAAGCCCCAGGTCCCGTATAAACATGCACCCAACCCCTTGTGTTGGGCACATTTCTTGTTTTTCCCTGCACCCACAGGCCCTATATATACCCATGAGCGGTCTTAATAAACAGACTTCAGACCCCAGGATCCTGCTTCAGTTTCATTTGCATCTCCGAGTTTCCTACGTTCGGGCGAGGGGGCGGTGAGTGAACATAGTGGTCAGTGCACCCCTTGGTGGGTCTGCAACAATCGTCCCTGTGCATTTCATAAACTGAGCTTTCCTACCAGTTCTTTACCACTTCATGCTCCCTCATTGTAATGCCAAATACACGGATACTGAAGGCTGAGCATAAATGCCACCAGACACCTCCTTTTTTATCTTGGAATTTAAAAGTATTTATTATTTTAAGATCATTCCAGACAGTGAGAATTGCCATAAAGGACTTCTAAATAAGTGAGCGACATGGGAAAGTAAGATTAATCGTTGTACGAAAAGATGATGATTACTCAAAAGATTATGATTATGAAGATCTCCATAAACATGACCAAAAAATGTAGAAATCAAAAGGAATTTTAAATTTAAACTTCTTTTGCAAAAAAGTCAGAGCAAAATTAAAAAGAGAAGTGAAAGAAATGGGGGGTAGGGGAGAGGAGTATTTATAATTTATATGCCTGATCAAATGTGAATATTTTCCAATGCTTACAAGAATGTTTGGCTCTTAGTAAAAAATAAATGTTAATTTTATTATTGAATCTAATTTGTA